ACTGTTAAAGAGGTCTTTGTATGTTCTTCCGGTACATTTAATATTAGTATGAAGTAACACTTGCTCTCAGAGGCTCTTTATTGAGGAGAATGTAGGACAATTAGCAGACTTCTAAAAATGTAAATATATAACTTTTCTCAAAGTATGGAAACAGATATGGAGTGCATGCCTTCTTCAGAGAACTCTATGGTAAAATGAAGTACTACTGTGGAAGCATAAACATAATTGCACTCCAGAGAGTAAAAGACATTGTGTTGCCTCCTCAGCAGAAATTCACCTCCCTCTATGAAAATCTGATATGTGTTTCCATTTCCTGCAGAGGGAGTGACAGAGAATTTAATGAGAAACTCATTGGAATCAAACCTGTCACTGTGTGATAATGCACTTACTAATCTCTCTGTAGGGTACAGAAAGTCAGGCTTTGAGAGAGTTTATCTGAGGAAAGGGAAAAAAACACATCTAGAAACAAATTACCAAAAAGAAATGTCTTTACTCTCCCACTGATACCTACTAACAGCTGGACTGCTTGTTCGGCCTGCTAAAAGCAAAAGCATCAGGATTTGCATAGTAGCCTTTTTTTATGATTGCCAGAAAAATTGAAGTTTCATACAATGGCTAATTTAGTGATATTTAAATGCAGCTTTCAAATGATATTCTTAGTTTGGAGTCAGGATTTTTGTTTGAGAAATCCACATACTGTGAGAGTACAGTAGGGGTTGTACTCGCCATTTTTTATCTCACATAAAATTCTCTTAACATCATCATCACCTTCTTCAAATCTGACTCATCACATCCATCCATCCTATAAGCATTTTTGAGCACCTAACATATGTCAAGGATCTGTGCATAAATACAATTATATACCAAGTTCTGGGATGAGTAACCTCCACAAAGTGTTCAAATCAGAAGTACACATCATTCAAAACTGCTATCAGCTAAGAGTGTTTCTTAAGTTCTTTTCATCAGCCCGACCGTGGGATGAGCACTGTGCTGTGACAGCACATACCTTCCCTGCAGAAGTTGAAAATCTGAGAGTACATTGATGTTACATCCATGAGGAAAATACGGAACAGGTATTGAGCAAATGAAAGAATGTTTCACTAGCTGAGTGCCTTATACAAAGCAGGATCTCAGAAAATACAGAATTATTGGGAAGAAAAAGAAATGCTGATGGGAAAAGTATGCATGAGCTATACATATTTGGAGGAGTGGTAACAAGATAACATTACTCATCTTTCTTCATCAATTTCTAGAAGGTATCATGAGGAAAGTGAGATACCAGTCAAAATATTCAAAGATCACATGTTTAATTAAGGTCCTAGTGCTATTTATTATCAATGATGATACTACCCTGACCATTCAATCCTGCCAGATTCATTCAGATTTGCAAGTCCTTCATAAAATGCTAAGCCCAGAATTGATTCCCATTTTATAAACCTGATCCAATCTCACACTTTTATTTTTTAAATCTGAGACAAGGCCTTTAAGAAATATTTATTACTTCATTGACAGTGTTTTTCATGTGCTTGTCCAATTTTATCTGGATGTAGATTTTTCTCTTACCTGAGAAGGAACCATGTCCTTTCTTTGAAAAACCACATTTTAAAATTCATACAGTCATTGATGACAAAGCTGGAAATTACATTCGAGATCATATGGTGGAGGATGAAACAAGGCCTAGAGACTTGTAGTAAACATATATGGCAGAGCCAGGGCAAAAGACAATATAATAAAATATCATTGTGAGCGCTCTTGATTTCTAGTCTAGTATTTTTTTTGCATAAAATTGCTATAGTACTGATGGATGATTTGTACTTAAGTTTGCTGATATGTCTGAATGTTCTGTGTGATTCCTCCATGTAAAAATGCCTCCATCAGTTCAGGTTGGCTTCTCCCTTTTCTTTCCTGACACTTTCAAAAAAGGACAGAGAATAAGATGAATTAACTCTTTTCTTTAACTAACACTTAATCATATTATGATCTTATTTTAAAACTGGCTAGTACAATTGGACTATTAAAAGAAAAACAAGTGAGTCATGTTCATTCATCAAAGTTTGTGCCTTTTAAAACTTTTTAGGCTTTATAACAGATTTGACATGATTGAGATTTAGATACAGCAATAAAGTAAATTTTAAAGGATGTGTAGAATTCCCTTGAGAAGTTATTTTTGTTTGCTTCCCATTGCAGCAATGTCTAGAATACTGTTTTTGTTTAAAAATTACCTAAAGCAATTTTTTTGTAACTGTAAAGATTGGACCAGAATTCAAGTTTTGGGTTAGTTTTCATTCATTTCATTATTGAAAATGTGGGAAGTCATGGCTTAGTTCCTCTCTCCTTTGAAAGTATAAAAAAGGCTAACTTAACAAAATTCTGCAGTTTTCTATTCAAAATGAATCATAGAAAATTTACCTACAGATTCATGGTGTTTTATTTTCAGTTACAATAAGTAAAAGCATCAAAAAATATATAATTATTAAATTTAGAAATAACATCTGTCAATATCCTTTATTGTCATTGTCACACAATTTTGAACTGCTGGGCCACCATAACTTGACTGGAAGAATTAACGTAATTTATATACACCCACACCCAAAGTAGAATTCTTTAAAAGGAAGTGACAACATAGTTTGTGAAATAAAAACCACAGTATTATTGCATCTTATTGGAAACCTCTGTTTACCTCTACAGATATTCCTAATAAACAATATCTTGTTAAATATAATAAAATTAATAAAACTGAAATGTCAGTCTGAAGCATTTATCTATCATATATTTTCTAGGCAAATCAGTTCTCTAAATTTTAACATAAAATTCATCAACAATTTTGGATGAACATAATCACAATGAAACAACTTTGATTTTAGATGGATCATGTTACTTACAATCATCAGGAACTCCCTAAGCAAGGATCCCCTTAAAAAGTTGTAGGTATTAAGGAAGGAGTTGTATTTATACATATTTTCTGTAGATGAGTTCATTCAAATATTGGTTCAGGTAACTTTATGATGCTTCAGTGAACATTAATTAAATGTAATTGTATATGGCCAGTAAACTAAAGATAAGTGTAATTAAAATTTTTTTACAATTTTAGTTTGGCTTTAAACTTTGAAATTAATGAGTCCTAACTTGCCTAATATATATTTAGTAGCTATCCTACTTTAACTTTCATATACTAATAAAATAAAACTAGGACTGCAAGATAAGCTATTATTTTTTAGTTTAATGTAAACTACCAGCAGGATTAACCTAATACAATGTATGTATTAATTTAGTCTGTTGTTAATCATCATTAATATCTTTTCTTTGCTCACTTCAGAGCGCGTGTCTACTTTTCTCCTCTTTTATAACTTGAGTTTTTCATGTGTACTAAGAATTTGATACACAGTGCACAATTCTTAACAGAGTAAACCAAAGGATTATTTTTAGCCTTATACTGTACATATAAGGTGGAAGAGTTGGACATATCTTTGTTTGCAAAATCTCATTGTTTCATTTAACCCAGGAGAATTTCAATGCATAAATTAAGTCAAACTTGTGGTATTTCACTTTATATTCTTTTTAAATCCTGCATTAAATGTAAACTATGAATAATCAGATTATTGGCTTTGCAATAAAACACTATACTAGCATATATGCATGATATTTTAGTTGATGGATGATCTTGTACATATTATATGTGTATAGTTTGTTTCCATTAAAACAAAGAAATCTGCTCGAGTGGTAGAAAGTTAAATTTTGGTAAGTTTTCACTTCACGTTTGTGCTCCCAAAATAAACCATACTTTGTTTAAAGAAAATAAAAGTTTATCAATACTCTTTAAAAGAAAGAAACATGCTTAAATATAAACCACAAACTTTCTGTGAACTCTTGTGCTCTTCCTATGATGTAAAACATACTTCTAAGCATTAGTTATACCTCTTTTATTGCCACATTTCTGAATATAAACATTTGTATTTCATAGAACTCCACAGAAATGATTGTCCAAAAAATGAATTATGTAAATTCTCAAGTTAAAATTTCTGTGATTTGTGCCCCAACATTCTGTATTTGGGTTGAGAATTAGTGCCGTTTTCAATCATCAAATTCCCAAATTAAATTTTCCATATTGCATGGTCAGCTTTTTAAAAATACACATCAGAAAGTTTCCTTATGAAAGGGCAGATCTATTTGCTGGAATGGGTACCTTTAGGATAGAGAACTCAGAGAGTGTTTGACTGAGTAATAAGAGTATTTTTGACAGTGGGACTTGATGTGGATAACTGTTACATGATTCATCTCTTTTGGTTCTCCATATTTTCTGCTAAGCAGGTTGCTCCCTGTGAATCTATACAGTGAGGATGCAGAGGGTCATAGAAGAGGGTTTTTTTAAGCACCCTGGTTTCACAGTATATGTCTGATGGACAGAATAGAATGTATTCCTCCAGCTGTTCAGTAATGAGGGCAGGGTGTACATCAAAGGAGAAGTAAAGGCAGGGCAGAATTAAGTCTCAGCAAGTGCTACAAACTTAGTGTACTTGTACCTCTAATCCTTTCCCTTATCTCCAACTTTTAATTCCATCAAATAAATCCTTTTAATTTCTCTTTACTTCTAACCCATTATAGCCCAGCTACCAAAGGGGTAGGATTCCACATAAGGTCATAAATTTACACCTGTGCTCACACACACACACACACACACACACACACACACACAATATCCATGCTGAGTCTTTGATGCTGTTGAAGAGAATTTGAACATTTTAAGATGTAGAGCTAAACTTACATTATCTGAGGTACGGTAAAAAAATAATAAAAATAAAAAGTGCAATGAGTAAGAAAAATGAAAATAATCCATGTTACAAATGGACTATAAATACATTTCTGATTCTTAAACTGCATTAAAATTGTTCTTTGTGTCATAGTAATTAAAATAAGAAAAGTAAGAAAATATTTTCAATGCAGTGGTACTTTTTTAAAAAAAACACAAAAAAACAAAAGTTAATAAAATATTTTATCTACATCAAAATATTCTTTGGAAACCAAAAGTAAAAATGTATTATGTATGTTCTTTCAGGTTGATCTGTAACAGTCAGAAAAATACAATACACACTGTTTAACTTTCTGAAAATACAGAGTGTGTACTAAGCATAAAGCAAAAGGCTTTATGTTTTACTGACAGAAACACTGTAGTCCCTATATTGGTACAAAGAGTTCCAGTTCATTTCCTATTAGAAAACATTTTTGTTTCAGTCACACTGAAACAAATGACCTGACTTCAATACGGTGCAGTATAGCTGAAGCTGTATCCAAACACTTTTCTTCAAAGCTGTATAAAGACACCTGTAGAAACTCCTGAGGAGGAAGTGTGGTTTCTCACAAGGTCAAGATATATTATCCAAAGCGAAACTTGAGTCTGTATTTCACTGTGTTGGGACTTTTCCGAGGTGTGGAAAGGGGAACCTTTGGCTTGATCGGATTAGGTGGCTTTTTCTTCTCAGGAACAGTAACTGTGAAAGAAAGTTCTGGCTGCTCCAAGTGCTTGAATCTCGGCAGAAAGTGGGTAGAGATGTGCTGGGGCTTAACTCGGGGGCTGCAGCCTCGCTTAGCTTTCCCTCTTTTGTTCAGGGCCACATACCACTCCCGGCCTGTTTTCTCAGTTCTGTATATTGCTGATGCATAGGTATTGTAGCTGTTTTCTTGAAATCGCTCCCTGAACTTGCAGTCATCTGTAAATTTGGCCTGGGGAACAAAACAAAACAAAACAAAATAAATGCAGGTTAGTAATAATATTTTCAGCATATAATAAAATGAGGTCTTGTAAAGAAAAACCAAGAATTCCATTAACCCCTGCTCTCCTTCTACACCCTCTTTTTTAAAGACATGTTTGCTTCTTTGAAGTTGTTTAAAAATTTCCATTTTTATTTCTGTCTCCCTACTTTATTCATCTTTGTAATAATGGTGATTTCTGTTTACTATGTACTTAGTGAAATAATATCAATGTATATAAAACTGGTAACAGGAACTCAATATATTTAAATTTGGTTAGTGATTTTAAGCTATCTTGAAATTTGCAGTTAAAATATTAACTTTTAACATAAGATTCTTTCCCCCTCTTAAGCCATCAGGAAAATAAATGGAACTATATTACTCAGAAATAATTGCCTGGTAAAACATGAATTCATGTTGAGAGAAATAGGGTCATATTATTCCTTTGAACCAAGAATGCATTTTTCAATGTTATCAGTGTGATTCATGGTGCTGAAAGAGGGATAGCATATGGCCCTATTAATATTGCATATGTTAGAGTTCTTTAAGAAAAAAATGTATCTTCTCACAGTGATACAGGAAAGTATATTTGATACCAAGGGGAAAAAATTACTTTTTGAAGTCACTGTGCAGCGAAGATAACTTCAATGAGTTATCTATTACCCTCTCTCGATCTCTCCTCTTTCTCTCTCTCTCTCTGTCTGTCTCTCTCTCTCTCTCTCTCTCACACACACACACACACACACACACACACACATCTGCCCTTGAAATGCTCACAGAAGAGTAGAAAAAGCAGACAAGTAGACATCCATCCCAGTGCAGCTTGATAAATGGAATTATGAAAGCAATATGCAGAGGGTACAGTGATAGCATACAGGAAGGGACTCTAAAAGGAGGGAGGTAGCAGGGAAGAGGGCAGGAAAGTCTTTCTAGAAAAGGTAGCATTTGAGCTGAGTCTTCAAGTACAATAAGATATTAGCAAGGCAGGTTATGTGAGAAAGGATTTTCAGGGGGCAGTAACAAGGTGTTCACCGCTGAGCATGACAATCCTCAATTACACAGTGTGATTTCCACATAGGATACATCAGAGAAGGAACAAGAGATGAGGCTGACAAAGTAGGCCAATCTGTGCTCTAAAAGGGCTTAGTTTTCCATGTTGAGGAAACTGAAGGAAGGTGGAATGGGGGAAGAGTGTAAGCAGGGAGTCTGACAGACCTGCAATCAAATACCAAATTTGCCTATTGAGGTCTTAGCTTCAGGCTCCTATCCACAATCCTGACACTCAGTGGGGAGGTTGTGAGAAGCAAAATACTTTTCTAGGGGAAAGATCAGGAGCCTTCATCAAAAGAGTCCAGAACTCCTAAAGAATTAAAATTCTGATCCTAGACTAGACCAGCTTTTACAGTTTTAGGGAGTACCATTTGCATAGATTTTCTGAGCTTGGAAATGCCAAATATTTTGATGCCTATACATAAAAACACTATGTATATAATACTTTCTACTTTATGTATATAAAAAATACTTTCTGTATCAGACCAAGAGCTATTATATTGGAATTAAAAGTCCTATTTCATTCTTGCTTTTTCTGATAATGTCACACTTTTCTCTGTAATACTGATCACAACACTGTAATCTGAAAGTCTGAACACTGCAAGACAGTCTTCATAGATCTACTGTTGATGGCTACATGGGATTTTTGACTTGTGGAAAGTACTGACAATATCAGAAGACAGCCAACTTCAGATTTCAGAGTACTGGGTTCAATTTCAGAGTATTTCCAACAGCGCATATACCTTGTGTACAACAGTTTGCCCAAGGTGTTTATATTCAATTGTAGTTCAATCAATAAAACTCTTTATTTGAGGACTATGAAGCTATATCTAGAATGTCAACAAGCCTACTGGTGATTCCCAGGATTTGATTGCCCGCAGGCTTGAAGCAGGTGTTTTAAAAACCACTACCTATAGCATTCCTCTCATCCTATCATAAGATATCACCCTAGGTCTAGGCCAAGGCTGCTATGCTGACATTACTTTAAAAGAGACTTTCTTACAAATAAAACATAGTTTTATTTATAGCTGCTTAGCTCTTAAAAGGACTTAAATGTTTTTCCATTTAATTAGGTAATACCAAATAGTTTTATTTTAAACACTGGAATGCATAAAAGGATAAGCATTTTAGAAAAGTATAGGGGATTTCATTAAAGAATAGCAGGTATATTTACCCTGCCTCATACTTTTTTTAAATGTATTTGAAAACAAATTTTAATATATATAATACTGTATATCTTGACCTGACTTGACCCCTTTTCTCAAAGTCCATTTTCCTGAAATAGAGATAGCAATGATTGATTTATTTAATTTTGACAGGTTTTCTAAGTGCACTGCATTATTTAACATTTTCTTCCCTGACAGTGTCAAAGAAAATAAAGGAAAAAACATGTCCTTTTTTATTGGTATGGCTAAGAGACACACATGCATACACACACATAAACAACGGTGAGTTAAAACTATAGCAATTCAATCTTAGAGTCTTCATTTGAATGAAAGCCCACCAACTCCTGCTAAAATTATTCCATCTAAAAACTTTCTCTTTCCCTGCCCAAGATCTATGTTCTAAAGTTCTTTCTTAAAATGAAAGATGAGTGTTCAAGCTCTATATTTTTCAGCACTCACCTAACTTTCACGCAGGGTAGAAATGCTAAGAGTCTGAGGATCTGAGGGCCCACACCCTTCTAGCAGCCTTGCAGCCTTGCAGATACCACGTTAAAACAGGAGTAAGCGTGGTCAGACTGTTTGGGGTTTCTTAATTGACTTCTAACTTGATGTTTTGTCTGAAAAATTCTTCCAGCTATGAAGGAACAGAACTATTTGAAACAGACATTTCAGGGAGTTTTTTCATCTGGAGATCCACTTTCTTCTTGAAGGATCATCTGTTCCTGTCAGCATTGCCAATTTTGTTCAAACAAGATGGGAATCCTAAGCAGTGTGTCTCTGTCCCTAATATCATGCATGAAGTAGAGTCCCTAAGCAGCAGAAGTCTCAGCTACAACTGTGTGTATATGTGTGTTTTATATATATGCATATATAAAATGGTAAACATATATATATGTTTACAACTTAGCATTACACAGTTTTGGATAATACATTTTCCAGGCCACTTTATATTTTTTAAATCACCTTTGAATTATAAGAAGTCATTCAGCAAAACACATACTTTTAAAATAATAGGACTATATTATTTCTCTAGGAAAAAATGAAGTTGACAGAAAGACTTTTTCTACAGCTAAGGTGTGAAGTAGAGTGGTGAATCAAATTTTAAATGAGCTGTTGAAATCAGGGCCCCCATTACCTCATTGCTCTACTACCATTGGCCTCTACAAGAAGACTAATCACTAAAATGTTCATAAAGAACCCCCATCTTAGTTTCAATTCATTTTTTCATGAATTTATTCAACAGACATTTATTGACTATGTATCACATGCCAGGCACTGTGCTAGTTACCACTTTTACAATGAAAATAATATAGAAACGATCCTACCCATTTTTTTTGTCTTAAATTATCTTTTTCTCTTTAATTTCTCCTTGATCTTGCAAGTGTAAAAACAAGTTACTCTCAACAAGCCATAATTGCAAATTAAAATGGAGTGCTCAAATCAGCTATTTTTATGTAATTTAGTATAGTTCTAATTGACAAATAAGACAAATCAAATTATTTTTATTAAATATCCAAATTATTCAGAGTGCTATTAAGGAAAATAAGAACTTTTGGATTACAAGGATGCTTTGCCTTGATTCTACTCATCTCTTCACACAATGAAGGTGCACAATGGGTGTTTAAAAGAAAGGTCAGATTCACTTCAAAGAAGGTAAAATTCTGATTAACTGGGATATTCCAGAAAATACTAATTTTGCTTAATTCAAATCTAAGGGTCAGTTAAGCCAAAGTTCTTTCTGACATGATATTTTTAAAATTTCTAAAACCTCTTAACATAGTTTTATTCCTTAGTAAATATAATACTGTATGATGATTGAAGACCTTGTCATGAATGAGTTGAAGCTGTGCAGACAAGTTCCACTTCTCATTAGTGCCACTGTAGAAGTAAATATGCAGTACATGACAGAGGCATGGGGAGAGGAGTGGATCTGGACCAACACCAGTTTAAATTTGCAGATTGTGGGATATTTTATCAATGTTAATTCTTTATTTCACTTTGTTTTCTTTGATTTGCCTCTTTCTCTTGAAAAACCTTATTGAGAAATAATGTAAGGAATAATTAACCAAATATAGCATTGATATAGGCTATAATACTATTAAATAATTTATGTGTTATTATACACTGTAATAAAAACAATCACAGACCAAATTATGCGCTAAGCTAAGTTTCCTTGCTGCATGCACCCCTACTTCCAGTTCTCTTAGTGCTTCTTGGTTCCCATCCCTACTCCCACCAGTAGGGCTGCCCCGGCCAGATGCCCTTAGCCCAGACTGTTTTGTGTAACCATATCTGTATCTCATGCAGGATCTTCTTTGCACAAAGGCTCCTACTTTTGGTAGCAAGTGAGGGCTGAAAGCCAGACCCTGCTCCAGTTGTCCCCAAACAGAGTATCACAGTACAGGGCAGTATGAACCAAGAAGGGCATCTTTTTCACTCTTTACTGTATAAGCCTCTTATGTGTCAGTCATAGCCACACCATACTGCCTCCACCACATGGTCATATTTCCTGCTTGCACGGGATATCTGTCCATTCTATATCTCAGTTCTTCATACTGAGCAACCAAAGGAATACACAAGTTGGATTTAGTAATAAACCGATCTGGGGTACTGTAGTGAAGGATACCAACTACAGGATTTCTCCTCTTCTGAACTCTTCTGAAAACTTACAGCTTTTCAGGGAGCCAGTTCAAAATGCAGATTCTGCAGGCCCTATCTCCAGGTATTGTGTTTTAGTAAATCTGAGGTGGCAGCCTG